TACGGTCGTGTGCTATTAGTAATAACATTTATTCGATCTTCTAGACTGAGGAAAACAAAGGGGAAACTCTGTGAGGCTGTGGTAATCCGGCCAAGATTCGAACAGATTCATGAACCAAGTAGCTGTTTCTGGGATGCTTGTGGTGTTGGCTAATTGAAATAAACGTCCAGAACACCGCAGATGCTGACAGGATGGACGCGTGCGTGACCTGGACACGGAAAGTTAATGCAAACAACTCGCTTGTTAAACGTGGAGCCAGATAACTTTTTGAATGATTCCATTTCAGATGTTAGGCCTTATTTTTAATGGTGTTACGTCTCTGTATAAGGGGCGGTATGATGACATTTGTGTTGTCTATTAAAGATCTTATGACCTAAAGCCGTACAAAATAAGGAGCAAGTCAAATGTGTGCGAATTGTTGGTTTCGATGATTCTCCTTTATGTAGATTTTTCGCTGCGAGTTGCTCCATTGTCCCTCTCCTTCGGTCTGTCTGTCTGTCTTAAGCAATCTGGGATATTCTGTGAAGCCTGCAGATTTCGCTGTCCCGTTCTGTTGCACGAAATCTTGTCCCAGGTCCCGTTTAACCTTTCTCTTTGCGTGCTAACAGCTGCCGGGTTACACATTTCACAATTCATAGCGCTGTTACGTTCTTCACCACTTATTACTAAGTAACTCCCTTGTATCAGAGCACTTTTAAGTCATTTTAAACGCTTAAAATGATATCTTATCTCCTTTGTGGATATTTCCGTTCTTGTATTTAATTCATTTGGTTCCACGCCATAAACGCTCTCTCCAATGCAGTCCTAAGCAGATTCAGACTATAATTTGTAGTAGAATTAATAAATCAATACAAGTTCTTTACTGGAGCGTTTGCCAACAGCAAAAGTGTATGACAGGCAAACATTGTTTGAGATCCACAACACTAAAGGAGATTATTCAAACGAAACAAATTAAAACAGAATTAAACTAAAATATATGGAAAATGGAAAAGATTTTTTGATTTTAACATCGGAGGTACACGAATACTAACAACGCCCATCTCGGAATGACACTTTATTTTGCCCTTAAAGAAATAAGAAATCAAAGATCGGTGTCGGTATCAACAGCTTGAAGACAAAACGTCATTACGTGAAACATGAAATTGGCCGATAATGACACGAATTTTGAAATCAACCCTGAATAATTTATTAGACTCGGTCAGTGTAAGATTGTTCCGTACAGCCAAGGCACACTTCA